TCTTGCATGACCCTGGCCTATACTTTGGCAATTCCCTCTTTTGAGGTCTTTGTTAAGTATTTAAAATAAGTGATACTACTGGCATTCTATTTCCTGGATGGCAGGATGACACAACAGAGTAGTTCAGATGTAAACTTAATCTTTAGAGGCACCTTTAAAAAACATCCCTCTGTGGTGTGTGTGTGTGTGTGTGTGTGTGTGTGTGTGTGTGTGTGTGTGTGTGTGTATCTGTGTGCCAGGTTGGTTTCTTGTGACTGTTATTGAATGGTGGCAGGCTGCATCAATCAGAATAATTACCTGTAGGGAAGTATATACAGCCCATCTCTCCATTTACTCGCTGGTCAAGAGGCACCACAGTCATGATCAAGGTGGACTTCTTAAATTTTTTATCGTAAGGGATCTTGTACAGGTCTTTTAAACTCCTGGCTTGTTTGTCATTACCTTGCCTTCAGGTTTTACTCTGAAAAGTAGCCAACAATGATCTTAAATATTAATTAATGTTTTCCTGGAATAATCTTTGTGCCTAAAGGAAAATACTGAGGACTGTCTTTAAATTCTGATTACCCTGGTCTTCTGCCTCATTTTGAGGGTAGTTCACTTTGACTCTATATATTTTTTGTAGGTAAATTATAGGAACATAAGAATTTCTATACATTTAGTTTGTATATGTAAATCTAGGCATGTTGGTGTGTTGCTTGGAATGATTTTAATAAAAAAAGCATGTACATATTTGAGAGTTGAAGAATATGGTCAATTCTCATGCCTTCAGCAAACATTCTTTACTCCAAAGTTGTATTATAGATCCTTTGCTTAAAAATGTTTTAAAGCATAGCATGGTTGCTTTTATTATAATGGAATAGAGTGGTAGTTCTTAATATATCCCCCATTTAGCTTTATTAAATATAAACAAATAATAAGTTTGTTCTCTTGACTCACCAGTTCTATGTAATCGCCCTTTAGAAGCAGTCACATAAGGTGCCTTCTGGTTTCTTGAAGAAGGGGAATGACCCAGGTAAAGGTGAGAAGAATGTCCTTTAGCTTTCCAAGCAATATTCCTACCCTAAATGGCAGGGAAGAAAAGCCTTCAAGATAGCATCAAGTATAGACATGGCAAAGCTCTTGTTTTTGTTTGTTGCTTTTTAAAAATCATGTATAAGAGACTTTATTTAGCACCTCATAAAATGAAACAAAAGGAAAGGGGAGAGAACTGCAGATGAGGAGAAAGAGCAATCTTAGGTTTCTGTCTGTTTCTCTCTCCTTCTTCATTTTTTGAATCAGGGTCTCCCTATGTAGCCCTAAATTCCCTGGAACTTACTATGTAGATCAGGCTGGCCTTGAACTCACAAAGATCCCTGTTCCTCTGCCTCCTGAGTGCTGGGACTAAAGGAATACACCACCATGCCCAGCTATGCCTCTATTTTCTACAAAAGGCTAAGAAAATGCAATTATTCTAGCGTCTATACTGAACACTACTTAAATTTTATAGTTGATCAATCCCTAATCCTACCTATCCTCTACCCAACTTTGAAATAACCCAGTTATTTTATCATTGTGGATTACAAGAATACCACCTTTGATGAATTAAGTAAATTTTTAAAGGTAATGTGAATTTAAAACAAATCTGAGATTCAATGAATTTGACTCTGAATACCATCTTTATATGTTGTTTAATTTGATCACATAGACCACTACTGAAATATTAGGGGAACAACCCCATTGAAACCCGTGTGACTATCTTTGGGCTCTGTGGTCCCTGCTCCCTTTTTTCTCTTTGCTCTTTGGTGAACTCTGATTATAGAGAGAAACAATCTATTTGAGATGGCACAGTTTCTTTTGTCTATTTCTCATCAATGTTTGATTTAAGGGCTGCAGATACTAGTGCATGACTGCATGCGGGGGTTCCAGGGCGTCTGCTCAGAGCATATCTGACAGGGTGCTGTGAGCTGGGCAGAGTAAGCTAGACAGTTACCGTAGAACTGGTTTCTGAGTACTTCATTAACAACAGAATAGAGGCCTGTGAACGTTATTGAGGAACTCAAATTCTGAGTAGAAAGATTGGAACGTGGTCCTAGGATTAGGGAACTATTGTTAATCGAGTAGGTATAATGATGAAATTGTAGTTATGCATAAAAATCCTTTTTATCAGATGAAAAATGAAATTTTGGAGGAAAATATTATATCTGTAATTTCCGTTAGAGTACTTAGTGAAAAAAAAGACAATGGGACAAATATGAGAAAATGGTAATTACTAACCAGAGGTGATGTGTGCCTGGGCGCTTATTATACCAGTCCTTCTTCATTTGAAAATGTCTGTAATAAATAGTAATAAATACTAAAAACCTTGGCATCTACTAGTTTAATACTAAAAATGCTGCATATACCTGTAAAATTGTATTAGGATGACATGATATGTGTATATATAAGGAAGTGCTTAGTAAAAAGTTTCTCTGGATTCATGAACAGTGATTTAGTTCTTAGCAGACTAGGAACTTATAAGAGGCTATGTAATAGAAATCCTGTGTAAAAAATTATCCATTTTAGCCAGGCGGTGGTAGCGCATGCCTTTAATCCCAGCACTCGGGAGGCAGAGGCAGGCGGATCTCTGTGAGTTCGAGGCTGGGCTGGACGGACAGCCTCAAAAACAATACAGAGAAACCCTGTTTCGTAAAAACCAAAAAAAAATTATCCATTTTATTTTTACTACCTTTTTAAATTATAGAAAAAAATTTTCGAGAAAAGCATAATAGAATCCAGAAGAAAAAGAAACAAGTGAAAATAACAACAAAAAAATAAGAATCATTTATCTTTACTCAGTTAAATACTGGGAGATTGTGGGGTTCTGATCCCAAACTATTTGTGGGTCTTGGATTCACAGGTGAGAACTTTAGAGGGGAATTAGAGCAGCCAACCCTTAACTGTAACACTCTGGAGACTGAGTCAGGGGATCACCAGGAGTTTAAAGTCAGCCTAGGCAACAGAGTAAGACCCTGCCTCAGAAGAAAGAAGGAAGAAGAGAAAGGGGGGAGGGAAAGAGAGGAGTAACCCGTGTCATGGAACAGGTCTAATGGTGGTCACAGGAGCTTCTAAAAGAGAATGTGTGATGATTTGGTTTGTGAAATATTTTTAATTATCACAATAGTGTTTTTTTTTTAAGTTCTGTGTTCTGAAGAGTTATTACTACAGCAGCTGTGTTCTAAGTCACAGAGCTCTATCACAAATTGCTTGTGCTATGTGACTACCACGAAGACACAGAAATACAAACACCTCCAAAAGTAAAGGGTCATTTTTGGGTGATATCTGGGTTCTGAGTCCAGACTCAGTGGTGTTGATTCCTTGCTGTAACAAGATGTTGCCCAAATTTACAAAATTAAAACTATTAGGACTGGCTATGTAGCTCAATGGTACTGTGAAAGCTTAGCATTCGACAGACTGGGGTGGGGTTATCTGCATAAACCTGAGGCAGGTGGGAAGCCCTCCAAGTCCACTTCTGTATATTTAGGGAAGAAGATGTGTTTCTGGACACCTGCTTACTTTTCAGCTAATAAATATAAATTGAGCTGACTGTGAAGTAGTTTGTCTCTGGTAAGAAATGGCTTCACAAATTCAAAGCCACCATTTGAAAACACCTTAAACATGTCCTCAAGATGGAGATACTTTCAACTGATCTGAGCCAATGGTGATCTTGCTCTTTCTAAACTGTTGATCTGTTGGTAGCAAAGCCCTGCTAGGTGCTAGAAAGAAAAAAAAATGATTCCTTTTAAGTTGTCTTTTAGCAGGAGAAGAAGTGTAGGTTCCATGGATAAACATCCTGAACTAAGATACACAAGATAGGGGCTGCTAAAGTATTAATTTTGAGCACATCTCCTGAACTACCGAAGCATTAGTAAATGGTGTTTGCCATAGAAGAGCTACGTTACTTCCAGGTTCCAATCGTAGGTTTGCCACCAATTACTGACGTCAGTGTCGTCATGGGCAAATTGAATGACCCCTGTTAAGTAACACGTGCTGCCATGTCATCAAACACTTTGGTTTCCAAGGAAAGAATGAAGTTATCTTTTTAGTGATGCTGAATGGTTTCTTGGAGAAAGGAATGAATTAGATTGAAGGGGCGAGCAAGGCAAGACTCAGTGCAGAGAAAAATAGATATTAAATTATGATCCCGGAAATTTTTCTCAGAAGTACAATGTTCATCAACTGCATGTTTTTTTAAACATTGTGAAAGTTAAATAATGTGTAAGGGAAGAGTTATTATATGAATAGCATCATGGATGGGGGATGAAGTTATGTCTAGAAGGTTCACTTTGGTTGATAAAGAATAATTAGCAAAAGTGACCAAGGTGCTGTCTCTGTGCACTTATAGGATCTCTGGTGGAGCTTCCATAAGTCTGGGCTCTGTGGAATTAGTCAGAAAGTAAATTTTCAGTGAAGATTTTTGCTAAAGCATCACTGTTTGGGAGAGGGAAGGAAGGAGAATAAAGAGAGACAGCAGGAACACATATATAACAAAGTCCAAATGTGGATTCTTCTGTGGAAATACTCCAGTTTCTCTGGATCATCATGTCCACTTATAGAATGTTAGAGCTAAATGGGACTTTGGAGCTTGTCCGGTGCAACCCCCTCATTTTACATTTTACAAGAGGATAGAAGCTTCGTGAAAATTGGCCAGGATTGCAGTATAGTGAAGCTAGGGAAGCTGGTGGTATGCTCCCAGGGGATTTTAAGTGAGGAAGAAGGGAAGTGTGTGTGTGTGTGTGTGTGTGTGTGTGTGTGTGTGTGTGTGTGTCAGGGTGGCGGAGGACGGGGATCCTTCCTTTCCAGAGTGATGTCCAGGTAGGAAAGCAGAGTAGAGAAGACAGGTGATTTTGGCAAATTAATTAGAGATGAAATTAAAAGAGGGATTTTGTGGAGAGGGGAATTGTGTAATTTTATGCTTCAAAATCTTGGGTTGGATTTGTAGTTTATGTTTAAAGGTTAATAAAGGAAACTCTGATTATTTCTAGGAATTTAGTTTTTTCCATGGAAAGGAAATTTGGGAATTTGGTCGTTCTGCTGGATCAAGCAAATGAAGGAATCGTCTGCAGCTGGTGCTGGACCTGGTAAGTAGTTCACACTAATCTGTTGCTGTTTAGGACCAGTACAGCTTGGCTTTTTAAAACAATCACTCTTAACGAAGTGTCTGCTTAGTACTTTGCTTTCAGTTGTGGACTGTCTCGATAGGAACTAATGAGTCAGATTAATGTGGCATGGAGTCCTGAGCAGAGGACGGGCAGGGATCTTTTCAGAAGGTTGGGAATGCTTTGCCTAGTTTCCTTTACAATTATGCTGGCCAGGGCTGGGTTGGGGGCGTCGTTCTGGAGGTTGAAAGGCTCCCTACTGTGCCTGTTCCTCAGTTACAATGGCATTGGGTTCCTGAATGAGGACCACTGTGCTGGTGTGCTTGCCTAGTTCCTCTGTTTTCCTGAAGAAAAAGAAAGCTGATAGTGCTGAGGTTGAAGCAGAAATGGGTATTTGGGGCTCTGTACCCACTTACATCTTATTCTTTGTAAAAAAATCATTTACCTGCTATATCTGTGAGAGATTTTAAAGGAAGCTTTTAATTTGGCATTTTCTTATTAAAAAAATAGTATTGCACCAATGTCTTACCAGTTTGCTGTTGGCACTTTGTAAAAGTTTGGGACTATTGGAAGCTCTCCACATTGTACCCCTTACCCCTGTTTAAGGGCAAAGCCTACCTCTATTGGAGGAAGAACGGCTGGGGAAATGAACAGAGCTGAAAAATAAAGCCATCTTGGCTTAGTCTTTCTTTTCTTGACTTCGGATTGTTCCGTCCCTGTCTGCTCTTATTCTAGAGTCTGCTTGTGCTGGGCATTGGAATGAAGTAGAAGTAAATAAATTGAGATGAACTGTGATTAAATGTTTACCTTCAGCCTCTCATGAGTGACCAGGCAACAGAAGTAGCAGTGCTTAAATATGTGTTTTGGGTGGAAAAACTTGGGTTATACTACTTTGGCTAGGGACCTAGGTTGGGTCTGTGAGTGGCCAACTTGTCTGCCCTTGAAAAAGACTTCTACTGTTCACATACAAAATTGTTTCATAAAGATCATATTCTTTGGGAATAGCTAGCTGAGATAATCCAGTTGCATAGAGTGACATATAGGAACCACATTTTGTTTTTCATGTCTATCTATATAGAATTTACATTAGGCACATTTTGTTGTTCTGTTTTTTAAAAGAAAAAGAAAGGAACTGACTGGTGTGTGGTACAGTTGTATAGAGGGAAAAAAGAGAAAACAAGTCTTAAGAACACCATTTGGAGGGGGAAAAACCCAACCCAGAAAAATGATCATTTCCTTTCTCTAGAATTTGATGTAACAGGCATATCCCAGAAATAAAGGAGAAAAAGGAGGAATTTGGAAGTTTTCTGAACAGAAAGTTTTTTCTTATGTGGGAGGCAGGCGAGTTAGTGACTACAAATCAGATTCAGGGAGGAAATTATGGGGCGAAAGAGATGGGGGAAACAGTACAGTTCTTTTTTAAAATCCAGACTAAGTCAAATCCAGGAATATTTAGTACATCCACCATAGAGTATGAGACGTTTAGAAGATTTCATTTTTAAGAAATTAATGTGGAACTAGAAAGACAGGTTAAAAGTTAGACATTTTAGGCTTTAGGTTTTTTATTTCATTGTTATTTGAAGTTTAAGTTATAAATATTATGTTTTAAACAGATAGTATCATGTATTAGAAAACTTGTGAAGACACATAAGGTTAGTTAATGATGAAATATAGTAAGAGGATTTTAAAATTCTGGAGTCACGAATAAGACCCTTTACTGTGGGTATAAAGAACTGCGAAGTTGTGATAGTTTTGAGATAAAATCTAAAGCAGAATTTTTAAAAAGTTATAGAATTAACTATGTTATTTGCAACCTTTTTTTATCTAACATTAAAACCCAGAAATTCAAATGTCCTTCAACCCATTATGATTTTTTACAGGGCCGGGGTGACCATAATCATTTACTTAGGCTTTTTTTTTTTAATTTTTGTAGGAAAATATCACAGGTTTACCTCCTAAGAACCTGTGAGGGTTTCCTTTCTTTCCTCCTTTCCTTTCCTTTCTTTCTTTGAGATTTTGTTTGAAGTTAAAATTTTCCTTTTTTGGGGTAAGGAGATATTTTCTACTCTTTATTAGTTGACAATGGGACATTTTCATCAGAGAGTAACAAGTAACAAGTACTTCCATTTTGCTTGTCCTAATTGCTAGAGAGCACGGAAATGACAGAAAGGAGGAATATTAAATTAAATGAAATTACTTAATTAGAAATTTTTATTTAAAAACATCAATTTCTTGGTTAAAGAGAAAGGAAAAAAAAAGCATTTTGCTTGCTCTTTGTCATAGACTACCAGTACAGGATTCTCATGAGGAACCTTTGAAGAGTATTTAAAATAGGACAAAATTAAAATGGAAGCTATATATATGATGCAAAGTCAGAAACAAAGAGGTTTTGTTTTTAGACAAATTATTCTAAACATAAATGTCGACCAATCAAAGAATAAAAAATGCTATTAGGGTGAATTTGAAAGACAGGTCCTTCCTTGAAAATCAGGCTAAGAAATTCAAATTAATTAAGGTTTGACCAATAATAGGGGAGATGTTTAAATACATTCTAGGAAATAATTGTCTTGAAGGGTCAGAATATAAATATAAATAATTTGCTTAATCTGTCAAAACCCTCCAGTTCATGTGCGGCCCCTTTTCAGATTTTGGTAATTATGTTACAATAGCAATGTAAGATAAAAAAATAGATGACTAATTTTTTAGCATATTGTAATATCAGCAACCCATTCTACTTTTACTAATACTTCTAGTAACATGATTTATTTACATGGATGACATAACTTCCATGCCCCCCCCCAAAAAAACAGATGCTTAAAAACAGATAGCCTAAAAATGCAGTTACAGTATCTAAAAAGACAACTTAAAATTTTGTTAGGTATTATTTTAAATTAAAACAAGGAAGTGGCTATAGAAATCACACATAGAATTTCTTTTGACTATGAAAGACTGCATGTTTTAGATGGATCATCAGCACACATTTAAGAGAAGATATAGGATTCTATGTTTATCTTCAATTGATGTATAAATTCTCAAAAGCACACAAGATATCTGGTAATTTCAAATATATTATTAATACAGTTAGATGTAAGTACTTTGAAAAAATTAGTAGAGAGTTTAAGTTTCAAAATAATACATGTTAAGAAATAATGTAGTAAAATAGAATTTAAGAAAATTAGTAGAAAAAGTAAATTTCTTGGTATGGAGTTTAAAAAACTTCATTTCCACAATAAAGCTATTCTCTTCTTATAAAGATATGCTTATTAATATCAGATCTATAGGGTAAGGGTCACTTTAATTACTTAGATAAAGTATATTGAGCTAAATTGATTTTCAAAGAAAGACTATGGTAAACAGAAAAAAATAGAATCTTTTTCTATTGTAATTCTTACATAAAATTCTTTAATGCAATAACTTTGATTCTTATTGTTACCATTAAAGTAAAATAAAATACGATTGATTTAATAGAAAACATGGTTTCATAACCCTGAGAGGAAAGTTAGAATCATGGATAAATATATGAAATTGGTTTCATTTCTTCCTTGTTGCTGAATCCTTCTTATAAATTAAATACTTAACATCAAGAGAATGATATATAAAATATGCATCAATTGTTACATTTTGGTAGTTATTTAAAAATAGGGAAGATGAAACTTTGTCCATCTAAATACTAACTGAAGTGCTAAGTGAAAAATTAGAAAGATATAAAATCTAAAATATTATAAGAACTAAAATTTCAAACACACATTTATAATTTTTATATCTTAGCATGTAGTGTAGCATTTGTTGTAATTGTTTATGAAAGTATAGATTGAAATAAGAAAGTAAATGATGGGCAAAGATTTTTCTCATTGAAGCTTACTAGATGTAAAATATACTAATAAACTAGCTGTAACATTAAGTGGGGAATCATTTAAAATAGAATTGGAAGAATTTTACTGACGATGTATCTATATAACAAGGCTTTGGGAGGAAGCTTTTGTGTATGTAGTAGGCTTTCTGAGTTTTGTGATCTGAAATTCATGATATATTTTGAATGCCCTTTCAAATTGCAAAATACTGCAGTGGAAAAAGCAGACATCGTGTACATTTTATCTTATATTTGGGAATAGGAAAAACAACAGATATTTTGGAAGCCTGCTAGCTTTTATTTTAGTGCATGCATCAAACCCCAAACAATTGCTTTGGTCCTTAGTTAGTTACCTGTCTGGGAATGCTAGTTTGTGCACATACATCATGAACCCTTTAAGTTATATTGACATGTTAATATCTAAAAATACTTGTTAAGTTTTACTGGAATTAGGGTCAAATTATTTGGAGGAAATGCATTTAAAACTCTGATTTTTAATTAAATTGAAACAGACTTTGAAAATGTTCATTCATGAATAAATATGCAATTGTGCAGTTTGCAGAAAGAATGAATTCTCAGTATATTTTTAAAAATCTTATAAGAGTGTTTATTTGTTGCTCTTTTGGCATTCTAAAGTCAGGAAAAACATGGCAGTATATGCTGTTGTTATTGATAGTCTTCCTGTGGAGAATGGGAAATGTGGTTAGCACATGGGGTTTTCTTCCTAAAACTTTAGCTTGAAATTGAAACTGTACGGTATCCAGAGTTAATTTTTCTTGTTAAGACTCATTTTGAGTTGCATGAAGTTTTTAAGTTAATGTATTTGAAGAAAAAATTGCTTTATTAAATGGAGATATGTAGTACATTGTAGCAGTTATGGGATGGTCTTTCTCTTGATTCCCAGAAATTTAGAAAATGTGTTTTAAATTAAGATACTGCTTAGTACAAGATTCTGTGAGGTAGAATAATTTATAAAATTCCTAGAAAATTATAAAGGTTAAATGAAAAATTAATTGAACCTAAATATGCCCTTGCAACAGTGAATATTTGACAGTGTGACATCTCTGGAGATTAACAAAAAGTACTCTGTCAGGGACAATATTCTGGGAAGCTGAGATTGTTTTTATGATAA